CACACACACACACACACACACACACACACACACACACCTCTTTACCCCCAGGATCTCCCTTCCTCTCCGAGGCCTAGCTCCAAATAAAAATCTGAAACTAAACTCATTGTCAAGTCAATTCTTACTCATAGCAACCCTACAGGACCGGGTTTCAGAGTAGAAAGCCTCCTCTTTCTCCCGAAGAGCTGCTGGTGGTTTCGAACTGCCAGACATGCAGTTAACAGGCCAACTTATAACCACGGCACCACCAGGGCACAGAGAAGGTTCTCAATAAAGACCTTGCCACCAGGGCTCCGACCAGGGAAGCAGGTTGTCAGCTTCCATAGCTGCCGCTCCTCCATCGCTCTCTTCCCTTGTTGGCAGATGTGTTTCCATCGTTATCCAACAGAGGGGCCATGGTGTTGCCCACCTCCTTTGGAAACCAGAACACCAAAAAACCCAAACCCACTGTCATCAAGTCGACTGGAACTCACAGCAGCCATCGAGACGGTCAGTCTTAATGGGAGCAGACGGTATCACCATTGTGCTGCAGCCAGACTATGGGTTTGAACAGCTGACCTTGTAGTAAGCAGCCCAGCGCCTAACCCATGGTGCCACCAGGGCTGCTTCTTTCAAGAAACCAGAAAGGTAGAGAATTTCTTCTCCTTCATCTGTGTATTCCTGGTCCCTGGAAAGCTGCCTGGTATATAGCACACAATAGTCCTTTCTGACTCCGTGATTCTATAGGACAGGGTAGAACTGCCTCTCTGGGTTTCCAAGACTGTCACTCTTTACAGGAGTCAAGAGTCCCGTCTGCCTCCTGAGGAACAGCTGGTGGTTTCGAACTGCTGACCTTGTGGTTAGCAGCCCAGCGTATAACCACTCCATCACCAGGGCACAAACACGCGTCGGTTGAAACACGATGCCTTTACATTGGATAAGGGGCCTCTGAACCTGGTTTACTGGCTCACCTGTTGGCACAGGTGTGGCATTGCCACAGGGCAAGCACATTTTCTCCTTCACTCCCTGCTATACCCCAGTGCCTGGCCCACAGTGAATGTGCAATACATATCTGTTGACTGGTTAAGCGGACGCCCTGGAGGTTTCTGCCAACTTGGACCAAGGACCAACTACCTCCAGGAGTGTGTGTGAAGGATGTCGGGGTCTGGGGTAGGCGGGAGGCCTCTGTTGGCAGACAAGGGCTTCTCCATTCTAAGCAGGACCTGGCCCTCTGCCTTCCAGAATCCCATACTCTTGAGAAGGGCATCGCCCGGAGCTGCTGGCAGGGCCTGTGGGGACACCTAAGTCCTGTTCTGACCAGTTCGGGCCCAGGGCTGTTTACCCAACACCATCTCATTTTAACCCCCCCCACGTCTGCACCATTGCATAGATGAGACTAGGGAGGCCCAGAGAGGTGGGGCCTGGCCCCAGCCGGTCCTTCCCTCTTAAGGCTCCCACTTCGGCCATGGGCTGCTTCCCCTGCCCGTACGTCTTATCCAAATGTCACCTGTCCTTTGAAGTGCCCCAAACTGCGCCCCCCGCCCTAACAGTGGGCAAGCATGGACTGCTCAGTCTCTGGGCTTCCCGCCCCCTCCCCAGCGAGGACAATTTGAGGGACAGGGC